AGTGGAATGACTTCTTTTCTTTTATTGTGCCTTAAAGATTTATAATGGTATAAAAAAATCACAGAGAAACTGATTACAATGTTTTCATTGTGTTTTTATGTAAATCACTGTTTTTATTTTACTGTGAACACAGTAACATAATTGCGGATTTTTCCTGAGAAAACCTTTCATTTATCTTGACTAACAGAAGGTTCAGAACTGATTATAGAACAGAAATGTTAATTAATCATCATAAATGTTTTGCCATGATTTCTCTGAGTCTATCAGAAGAAAGCTGAAAAAGGTTATCATCATGTTGTTGAACAACCACAGAATTTTAACCTTGGGCTGGCGCCGCTAGCAAATCTTTATCTTTCTTTCTCTGACTCATCTCTAAGCCTGAGGGCGGAACCAAAGTTTGTCCGTTTCTTTTACTKACCTGGACGGCTTTGAGCGACACTCTTCTTCCTGATTCCAACCTAGGAAGGCAGCTGGGATTCTCTCCGGAGAAACCCCAGTTTGGCTTAAAGTCTGATCCCATGAGCTAACTAGGGGAGACTTCACAGCCAGGGACCCGGCACGCGTGCCGGTGGTCTCAACCTGAGGCTGAGCCTCTAAGTGTGTTTTTAACTCCCGAGGGGAGATTTTATTTTGGAAAGAAGGGACCGGATATAGCTTGAATTTTTCTGGCTTGGACTGAAACAGACGAAAGTTACCTGTAAAAACACCTGTTCGCCAATGACCGGTAAGCGAGCCGACATCAGTTCCCTGACTGATCGGAGGCGAGCCAGCTCCTACCCCGAGGGTGCCTTAAGTAGTCATCACCAGGTAAAAGCTGATGTGTTTGGAGTGACGTGTCATGTGGAACCTGAGACTAGAAAAGACGTGCAGTTCCGGTTGACCCACACTTTGATAAAAGTAAAAGTCGTAGTAACATACTAATCTTACTTTCCTCCTTTCCTTGTTCTTAATTTGCCAAAATTTAAGCTAAAAGTGCCAGTAAAATTGTTTGGTTGTTAACATCAGAACTGACGTTTTACTGTTCTATATAAGTAATCTGAGTTGATGTGAATT